TGTTTCTCTCAGGCAAAGGAATCTTTGCATCATCTGCTTCATTTGAGTATTTTGAACACAGAAACTCTTTCCTACCTTAAAGTATCCATTCTTTTTGAGACTATCTAAAAAGCCTCTCCATAGTGGGTTACTGCTGACTGAAGCCTCTTTCTCTGATGAGGACTGTCCACTCTTGGAGCACAGGATTTCAAAGCCATGGGCCTTAGACATGAACAGAAAATAGAATACTGTACTATACTTACAAAATGTTTTACGTGAAAAATCATATTTCTGAGCATATTAAAACAATCCAATGCTAAAATACTTAGAGAAACAGATGCTCATCTCTGTAAGAGAAAATCTGCATTTTAATAGCTTTCTCTATACATGACTGGAGAACAAGATACCGCATGCCATGAACCCACCAGTTTCATTCCCAGCTCGTGAGCTCTGTACTGGGGATGAGAGCGGACAGGAAGCGTGAAACCACTCCGCCGATCTGGAACAAAACTCTGTTGTTGCAGCTGTGCATACAAGCAGCGAGTAAACTTTATCTTCAGGAAAGGGGGAAGGGAACAGGTTTGTCATTACAGGAGAAGTTTTCAAAACTTACATCAGGTTAAACTACTTTTCAAAAGTTTGAACTCTGTAAGAATTTCACTGACCCCAAACTTTTGATTGGTAATGTATGTGACAGAATTCGGCAAGAACTTTCCCTTATAAAGATAAAATTCAGAACAAAATTTAGACTGCTTCTTACTGATGCCATAACTCTAGCGTCAGGAGGAAACGTGTGGAAAGTTCGGCAGGCCTGGAGGTCAACAGGGTCACGCAGATAGAAAGCAGACACGGCAGGGGCTATAAGGTCAGGCCTCCTAGACAACACCAAAGCAATGCCCGCAGGCACATAACAGTGGGCACGGTGGAAATTCTGCTGGATTTTATCTGGATACCTACAAACATACACAAACGACTGAGTAAAACCTAAAATAAAGATACAGTGCTAAAACAGAAACAATGTCATTACTTATTTTAAACAATAATGTAATTCTCACCCATCCAGCCTCTTGGCCAGAGCGACGCATATGGGCTGTTTGGCTAAACAGCTCTCAGTGTGTGAATGCAGCACCTCTAGAGCCCGCTCCACAGTGGGCACTGAGTCTCTGGGCCAGCCAACCTCTCCAGAACGTGTGCAGTTGGGTAATATGTGCAGCTCTCCCTGGTACAGGAACACCTGAGAAAGATATTGCCAGATGAAAAACTGATTAGCCAATGGGAACAGAGTATATATGCACCTCAGGATGATAACAAGAACAACCTTACCTTTAAAAACAAAAACAAAAAAGTATTATTTTTCCTAAAAATGATAATAACCATCTATCACTGATTAGTAAAAACTGTGGTGATATCAGTGCTGGAATCAAACTGATTATACATGGCACTAAATGTGTAAGAGCCACTTATTTCTTTATATAGATGTGGAATTCAAAATTATGAATAAAGTGTAATATAATATTCCAGTATTTCAGAAAACGTTGAAATTGAAGCTCCAATAACATTGCTTAATGCAATGGCCATTTTACAAAACGTAAGATTGGATGGATACAATTTTTGAAAGAATATTGTTTCAAGTTCATTTTGTTAATAAACAAAAGAAAGTTACTGCAATATTCGATGTTATTCAAGTTCAACTCACGCTTACATATCACAGCAAAAGAAATACGACAAATCAGACAGATGCTATTTCAAAAAGATTACCATCTTAATGTATTTCAAGGAGTACCATGGTATTACTGTATCCAATAAAACATGATAATATCATCGTATTACCAATTAAAGTTTCTAATACTAACCCGGTTTTCACTGCTGTCAGGATCCAGCCACTTTGGCAGGTGTTCAGCTGCTTCAATCAGAAGAAACTGGCCATCATTATCATAGACAACAGCAGCTATATCACTAAAGGTGCGTGTGATGTGTTTGAGCAGGTAAACGATGAACCATTCGTCCTCCACATTATCACCGAACTCAGTAACACCGCCCAGGTGTGCAGGCACATCTCCTATGGAGTGTAAATGAAGATGCATATTGTGAATAATTGTCTTGTTGCAAATGCAAAAGCAATTTTGGAGAGTCTATACGTGTGACTAAGATCATATAAATATATATATAAAACGCTAATTATAGCTATTTCCATGACATTCTAATTTATTGAGATGCACCTGTATATATATATATACTGCACATATGTAGTTTTTTGGTAGTCACATATACACTCTCTAGAACTGCAAAATTGATATACATAAATATACCTTTCTCAGGGTGGTATCTTAGATTGAAGGGCAGATGTTGCCAGATGTACTGCACCAGAAGAGGGGCGATCTCAGCGAGGATGTTTTGCAGGATCTGCTGGAGGAATCTCTCATGGGCTTCTGCGTCTGATGAGTCAAGATAAACCAGAAACAGATGATACTGGACCGCGTCTTCAGGGATAGAAGGTCTTTGTAAAGCATCCATATTGATATCCCCTGAAAGCTGGAAGGAAGCAGCATAGGTCATGTCACTAACGTTAGAGATTCCTGAAACGTGCCTATCGAACGCTATACATCACAGGCATTACGCAACATGTGAAATATGTGTTCATGCAGATGATTACCTGAGAGATTTTATTAGTTATGCGATAGCTTGATCAATAAACGCAATATAGCGGTGACCATGTGGACAGCTTCAGCTTGACATGTTTTGAAGCTTGAGCTCGCGGGATTTTCCTTACACGCCCCGGAAGTGTCCTGTTAAACGCAGAGTCTTATTGAGCCCGACTGTTTCAACACTCAGAAAGAATATGTTTCACTGTTTCCAATTCTCCACATTTGTCACACTTTCCCGATTCATGCTTACCTATTTTATAAAGACTATAGTTTAATGCTGTATGTCCGATTCTTAGTCTTGATAAGATGACATCTTTCTTCCTATTTCCGTATCTTTTCCTCTCATTTCCAACACACTCCTGAATCTGGAAAAGATGTCTTCCTTTAGACCCATTATTCCATAACTTTTGCCATTTCTTACTTACTTCAAATGATATCACTCTCTTGAATTCAGCTTTACTTAAAGCTAACTTAATTTCTATTTGTGTATGATTTAATGCTTTCTTTGCTAGCAAGTCTACTTCCTTTTTTCCATCCACCCCCACATGTGCAGGCACCCAGAGGAATCGTACCTCTATCCTTAACTGCCTTATTCTAAACAAACTTTGTAAAACTTCAAATACTAAGTCTTGCCGAGCTTCAGATTTACCACTTAGTAGGCTAGTGAGCGCAGCCATTGAGTCAGTACATATCACAGTTCTTTCTGGTTGAACTTCTTCGATCCACTGTAGAGCTAGTATGATAGCTAATAATTCGGTGGTAAAAACTGACACATGATCTGATAATCTTTTAGCCATTTTTATTTTAAAAGTAGGAATATAAACTGCTGCTGCTGTTCTCCCAGACTCTGGCTCCTTAGACCCATCTGTAAATACCTGTAACACAGAATAATACTCTTGTTTTATATATTGTTGAACTACTACTTCAGTTGGCATGTTCATCTCCGGTTTTTTTATTACTTTGTGAATTTGTAAATCAATTAGTGGCATAGGGAACAACCAAGGAGGAATTGCTGGAATAGCAACAGAAGGAGCAATTTCATGGTCTTTCCCCCGGAAGTGTCGTAGTTTTGGATACAGGTCCTCAGTTCAAAATAAGGGTTATTTTGAGCTATTTCACCATTGACTTTCTCACAAAATATGACTATGAAATAAATTCGTTTATTATTTCTTTTCTTTTTTTTTTCTTTTTCTTTTTTTTTTGATCATTTAATATCTGAGTATAAAACACTGAAATAATAGATCCTAAAATTTACAATTTAGCAAAATCCATCCATATGGTTAAAACTGTGAACAAAAATGCTGAAATGATTATACAATACCGCTCGAGAGCGATTAAAAAAAAAATTAATACCTTTATTAATCAAGGATGCATTAAATTGATCAAAAGGAGCAGAAAATACATTTGTAATGTTACAAAATATGTTTGAAAAAAAAAAATAGAATAAATAAATCCTGAAAAAAAATCACACTTTCCACAAAAATATTAAGCAGCACAACTATTTTCAAAATGTTTCTTGAGCACCAAATCAGCATATTAGAAGAATGATTTCTGAAGGATTATGTGACAAAGTAATGGCTGCTGAAAATTCAGCTTTGGCATCTCAGGAAAAAAAAATAAATGTTCAAATAGATTCAAATTGAAAACAGTTATTTTAAAATGTAATAATATTTCCCAATATTATTTTTACTGCATTTTCATCATATAAATGCAGCCTTGGTAATGGACTACTACTCTCAAAAGAAAAAATCCTACTAAACCCAAACTTTTAGTGTATATACAAATACAATTCATTATTTACAGAAAAATAACAAAAAATGACAAAAAAAAACAATACATTAGAAGAGATAGAGAATAAAAATTAATTGACCTGCTTGTTTGGTTGGTTGTTTAGTCAGGACTTTCAGATAAATATAGAAATATTATATCAAAGTTGGACACATAGAGAACATAAAAAACGTTTGTGAGCAAACAATTACCAAATTTAACAGTTAGTTAGTTAGTTAGTTAGTTAGGCTAGTTAGGCTAGTTATAGAACATAATTTTATGTAAGTCTATTTAAAAACAGTCCCCAGCAAATACTTGATCGTCTGTCAGATGACTCAGTCTTTGTTTGACACATCCATTGCCTCTTTTGGCCTTTATATAGTTCATCTGTTCCCCTGTGTGTTGATGTGGCCATCGGAGAGTCTGTTTGAACCATTTAAAGGCATTATTTAATTTATCTCAGGGTTTAAACAGGTCCATTAGCTGGTCCCCCTGACAGGTATTTTTCAGTTTTGGAAATCCAGCCCCAGGTGTGCATTAGAGCATGGATTAGAGAGAAACCTGCACCTGTGGTTATGAGTCTCCAGACGACGACATAACATTACAACTCATTTTAGGAGGACTGTATAAAGGAGACCAAGAACAACACACTTCATCTTGAACAAAGACAGCAGGTAAGACATTCTTTACTATCAAAATTATGTATTGTTTTCTGAATATCTAGACAGATTGTAATAAATGTGCCAGTTTAGACTTAAAACTTACAGAAGACAACATTCAAGTAACTCAGAATCTATATGTGTACTATAAATCTATATTTGAAATCTTAGCTGACCATCATTTTTATAAGACGTTACAACAAATTTTGTTATATCCATATACTTTCACCCACCACTTTAATCTCTTAAAAGTAAAATAGACTTGATTTCCTTTTCATGAACATTTACATTGTTTAGTATAGAATTGCATGTTTTGAATGGTTTCTGTGGATCTGTTGCATAAATTGTTAGAAACTGGGGTTGAATGTCATAACATAGTACTTTGACTATACATTTAGTGGTTTCGCATCAGGCAGGTACCATATTAATATGTTTTAGCTTAATAATTTGGTTTTAATAGATTTATAGAATCAAATGATTGAACACTGGATTTTTCCTATTGTAAGAATCTGAACTGGGAGATAATATATCAACTACAACTAAACAACCCACCCAAAGATCCTGACTGTTTACATGAGAGTGCAGTGTTGACTATATCAAATGTCTTTGTTTCAGTTTGAGCATGGAGTGGAAAGGAAGGGTGCTGGTCCAGTTGTTAATGCTAGTGTGTGTGTTGGAGGTTAGTCTTTGCCAGCACTGGTCATACGGTTGGCTTCCTGGTGGAAAGAGAAGTGTTGGTGAAGTGGAGGCAACATTCAGGGTGAGCTTATCCTCTTGTTCTCATCTGTCTGCTAATGTTTGTCCATCCCATTGCATGTCAACTTTGGTCCTTTTTAGCATGGGAATCCGAGAAGTGTTGGAACGTGGGGTGGCCATGAAAATAAGAAAATATTCAAAGTACTAAGATAGAGTAAAACTCTGTCTTTGTCAGATGATGGATTCTGGTGATGCAGTGCTGTCTATTCCTGCGGACACTCCAATGGAGCGGCTTTCACCGATACACATAGTAAGTGCATGACTGTTTCTCTTTATTATTAGAAAACATCCACAGCTTAATTTCCCAATGTGAAACTGATCATTGATGTCCTTCTATAATGATTACAGGTGAATGAGGTGGACGCTGAAGGTTTGCCTCTGAAAGAACAGAGATTTCCCAACAGACAAGGAAGAGTTTAAAAGCATAAAAGATGAAGATAAACCCTTGGAGGCATCCCAGCGTCAAAACATACCTAACCAGCATATGCTGTTTTTTTCAACAGGGAGAATAAAATTCCGCTTTATTCCATGGGAACAACATGTTTTATTGAGTCCTGCCGAAATATCCTATTCATATGATTTAATAAATATACTGCATTGGAGGTAATATATACTGTAAATAAGTAGTGTGCCTAGTTTGTTGAAAATAAATATTAAATGTGCTCAGAGCTGAAGCAAATGTTGCAGTAATTGATCAAATAACCAAATGACTTTTCCCAAAATACAGACAAAACACAAGTACACATCCTAACTTTTCTTCCACGTGGTGGCGCTATTGTATCTGGATATGACTACAGTGATTTCAGAAAAAGTTGAAACTTTATATATATATATATATATATATATATATAATTTATG